AGGATGGTCTTGATCTTGTGACCTCGTGATCCGCCCGTCTCGGCCTCCCAAAGTGCTGGGATTACAGGCTTGAGCCACCGCGCCCGGCCTTAAATTTAATTTTTTGAGGAACCACCAAAGGAACCACCAAACAAAATGCAGCAGCTGCAGCATTTTGCATTCCCACCAGCAGCACACGGCGCTTCCAGTTTCTCCACATCCTCATCAACACCTGCTGTTTTTCATTTCTCTCCATCCTAGTGGATATGAAGGAATCTCATTGTGGTTTTGATCTGCAACAGGTTGACCATTTGCATGTTTTGTTTGGAGAAATGTCTGTTCTCATCCTTTGCCCGTTTTTAATTGGGTCATTTTTTATTGTTGTGAGAATTTCAGATAGGTAGATAGACGATACATTTTTAAGACACGGTCTTGCTCTGTTATCCAGGCTGGAGTACAGTGAGCTGGATCACCACTCACTGCAACCCCTACCTCCCAGGTTCAACAGGCGCACGGTCACGCCTGGATAATTTTTTATGTTTCGTAGAGATACAGTCTTACTGTGTTGCCCAGGCTGGTCTCAATCGATTGAGCTCAAGCGATCCACCTGCCTCAGCCTCCTAAAGTGCTGGGATTCCAGGCATGAGCCACTGCTGGCTTAAGAATTCTTTACACTTTTTGGGTACTAGGCCTTATCAGACACATGATCTGCAAAGACCCTGCCTTCTGCCACTGCCCTGCTTTGGCGCACAGCTCTGTGTGGATGAGGCCTGGCCTCGGCCCCCTGTGGAGGGCACTGCCCTGCTTTGGCACACAGCTCTGTGTGGATGAGGCCTGGCCTCAGCCCCCTGGGGAGGGCACTGACCTGTGGTTTGTCTCCCTGCAGTCTTACCTGCTGATGGTGACTGTCATCCTCCTCCCTTACGTCAGCAAGGTCACCGGCTGGTGCAGAGACAGGCTCCTGGGTAGGTGATGGCTGCGTGGGCTGGCCTGCGAGGCCCACAGTGTGCCCCGCTCCGTGTGGCTGGGTGATGGCTGGGTGGGCGGGCCTGCGAGGCCCACAGTCCGCCCCCCTCCGTGTGGCTGCTCCACACCAAGGGCTGTCCGTGGGCCGAGGCCCGTGCGTGGTGGTGGCTGGGGCTCCCACACTGTGCCTCTCGGAGCATCCCTGTCCTGTCTCCTCTCCTGGCCTGCACGTTCCAGGCCTCTTCAGAGATGAGGGCAGTGACAGCCATGCGGTCTCTGGCTCCACTTGGGGGGCTTGGCCAGCTCCCCCCTCCTGGCGTGTCCACAGGCCATAGGGAGCCCTCGGCTCACCCAGTGGAAGTCTTCACATTTGACCTCCACGAGCCACTCAGCAAGGAGCGGGTGGAAGCCTTCAGCGACGGCGTCTATGCCATCGTGGCCACCCTTCTCATCCTGGACATCTGGTGAGGACCCCGCGTCACCTGCCCCAGCTGTCAGGCGGCCAGTGTGTCTGAGTCCTGGAAACCCCAGAAAGGCACAGGGGTCTCGGCTCCACCCTCCCCTGGATGCCTGGAGTTTTGTGTGAGGTCAGGGCAGCCCCCACTTCAGGGAGGACAACCCCCCCAGCGGTCCCTCCCTTCCCAGTGGCTCCCACCCCAAGTGCGGGCCGGCGATGGGGTGCCAGGGCGAGGTTAGCACCAGCCGCCAACTGCTCTCCTCACTCTTTCCAGAGGGGCTCACATCCATGGGTATCACCCTACCCCAGGCCTCACCCCTGCCCCAGCACCAGCCCCTCCTGGTCCCTAGTCCCTCCTATTCCCTCCTGCTCCCTCCCAGCCCCCGCCATCGCCTCCCAGTCCCCCACATCGCCTCCCAGCCCCCGCCATCGCCTCCCAGCCCCCGCCATCGCCTCCCAGTCCCCCCCATCGCCTCCCAGCCCCCGCCATCGCCTCCCAG